TGAATGGAATGTACGCTCTGAAACTAAAAACCAGGTGCGATCGTGTTTCCTCTCCGATGATCGTACTCCTCAGAGTATTATAGCTAGATGTCACCTAGGTGACAACCAAGCAAACGATTGAAATGCAGCTTATTACAAATGTGAATTGTCATTGACGGAACTGAGCGAAACGACGGCAACGTGTAGAATTGAGCGTTTTGCTGGCAGGCTCGCCTTTCTCTGTCGGGGGCGTAGGGGGGATTTGCGAAATAGAGCACTTGCAGACTCACTTCAAATATTTCACGATGAAATTAATGACCCTCTTTGGGGGCATTGTATTTTTACCATGTTTCAGCTGGAAAGTGACCTCGAGGGGGCAGTCAGCATGCGAGGGACCCAACCCTGAATGGCAAACCCCACCGCTGGGAAAGCACTCGGAACAGTGAACCAATTCAAGATGTCGTGTGGATGCGGCGACAGGATATCGGCTGACGGAATAGTCTATTTTTGAGGAGGCCAAGATTGGGTCTGCAGATAGCGGCCAAACATGGCGGATTGACGATAAGTCTCGACTTGGGACTATGGCGGATTGACGATAAGTCTCGACTTGGGACTAGAAAAAACAACTTCTGACCTAAGATTTGGTCTGGAAGACGTTTCCATGATCAAAATACTCGGCTTTTCCTTCCTTACGAACACTATACCCGCTCGCGGAATTGGAGGTTCTTACCAATACGCAAAACGTGAGCGGCAGACTCTTCAAGTTAAATTCAGAATTAACTCCTGAGCTCAAAGGTACCCGAGCAGCTATGCTTCTATATTACCCCACGCAAGCTTAGGCGACTCGCTTTTTTTGAAAGAAAGGTGTGTGTTTCAGCCAGAGAAGATTCAATGATGATGATGCCGAAGCTCTCCCTGCGCCAGACCTCTCTTCTTTTTTCTTCTTCATCCGCCTTTCTTTTTTCTTCTTTATCAGCCTTATTTCCGTCCACTTGGCCTTTCGTATCTCCCACTAGCCCTCCTCCTTTCTTTCTCCTTTCCTATCCCAAAGTACTGAGATCCTCCCTCCCTGGCTAACGCCAGTAGGTCAGTCCACGTAACTCTCGCAGCTGCCCCTGCGAGGGTTATGGGCCCACAGATCGTATAACTCCAGCGAGAGTTACGGCTCCTTGGCTCAACCACTCGACTCGCGCATTTTAGCAGCTGAGTCCCTCGAGTAAACCTCGAGTGTGGTCGAGTGTTCTTTCCACCGTTTATGGTAAAAGAACAACAAGTCGAGCAGGACTGACATTTCAATTGATAGGCGGACCCCTCAGACCAGAGAAAAACATTACGTATTTCTACCGTCAACCGAAATCGAAGTATGGCTGACCCACAGCTCGCCGCTTTACTGGCACAACAAGCTGCCATACTGGATGGAGTCCAAAAGACTCTTGGAAGGTTGGAAGAGAGAGATAAAGATGCGGCTTCATCGCTTATAGCAGTGAATGATCGTATTACCGCTGACATTGCAGCCGACAAATTGGAGCGTGATGCTACTTTAGCATCAATGAAAGAATCATTCGAAGCTATGAAAAAATCTCTGGAGGAAGTATCAAATAGATCACCTCCTGGAGCTGAAGAAGCTAAGGAAAGCCCTTCCACTCCTTCGGATATAACTGACTTCTCCACATTTCATAAAGGAAAACTGTCAAAAGCTGATCAAGATCACTTCAGCACATCGTATGGGGAACTATCCAAAGGCATTGGCATGAATAACCTTTACCATGATACAGGCCTTAAAATCTTTACAGCAGTCTATAATGGCAAAGGCACCATGGAAAATATAGGTGACCTACGCAAATGTATAAGTCGCTACATAGAGGTTCATTCGCTGAATAAAGCTCGAAGGATTTTGGATGTAAAGTCCTATTACTCCTATACACAGGGTCATGATAAGTTCACAGATTGGATCAACTCATCCCTGGTGAATGCATACAGTAGTGCGATGAATGCCATCATTGGCATGAAGATCGATGTGACGCAACTATCTGGACTCCAAATTCTTAGAATAGATGACGTCCAGCTTGATGAATCTAGTGCTCGCGGAGAGCAAGTGATTCTATGGGACAAAGTTCCAATTGATCTTTTCACTAAAGAAAAATTTTTGAAGGATCCATTCAAATATATCACAGAAGAAGGGTTCAAATTGAAGGATCAGAAATTCGTGATCTCAAAGATTCTCAAGCATGACAAAGATCTTGAAATGAAGACGCTTTCATTTCACTGCATTCCTATGAATTTTGGGGATCGCACGAATGAGCATCAACCGTGCTATGTACCCTTAAATCCTTTCTTTGACAGTTATCGCAATTGCTTATTCAAAGCTGGCATGAATCAAAGTGCTGAAGATCGACGTTACGCACCAATGAGTTCTATGATTCCAGGGGATGTTAACTTCAATCCTGCGGAGCATATGGATCTCACGGACTTTGGCTCATCAGACACTGTAGTATCTGAAAATCTCTATGCTTACCTGAACAATAGCTTCCGTAATCTGTCCCAAAAGGACAAATCTGAGTTGCTTTCAGCAGAAATGGAGAACATCAGGAAAATAAGCATGGGCTGCAAGTCCTACACTCTAGTTCAATGGGTTCTCAGTGTTCTGTGTGGTGGACAAGAGTCCATACTTCTACACTTGCAGGATTATCGTAAAGATGTACTCGACGCTACAACTGGAGCCTTCTCCGAATTTCCATTACTTGACCCCAACAACATCATGAAGTTTGTATATCAACTTAATGAGAAGATAGGGGTTATGTCAAATCGCGATCCCTATGCATACAGATCCAAGAAAGAGCTCATGCGAGAGGTCATTCAGGCCATGTGGCGCCATGTAACTGCCTCACAATGGCAAAACTATAGTGATGAACCAGCATCTGCTTTGCATGAAAAGATCTTTAAAATTACAGATGCTCTTCGCGTCTTTTATGGGAACTCCCATCATCGCGATAAACCCAGCTCGTTACAAGCTCTCGAAGCAACACAAGTTGGTCTCAGTCATGCCATCTATGACATAAAACTAATGATAGACATGTTTACATCCTTATACGCCGCCCACTATGCGGAACCGCCGGATATGAACGAATGTCTTTCACTAGATCTCGATAACACACAGCAATTCAAGCACCGAAGTAGGTTATCTCAAGCACAGTTCAGTCTCAGCCTGAAAAATGCTGGCATGTATCAGGTGGAAGAATTGGAGTCTTGTACTTTCTATCTGAATGACACTGACATGGACGAAGTTAACCAGCTCTACGACGCTTGTGACAGAGATGAAACCATATTGAGCTTATTAGATGAGACCACGGCAGCCTTCGCTGCCAATTGTGTGAGTGTGCATTTCACTGAAGAACAAATCATGATGGCAGGTGGAAATAAATCTGCTACTCCAGGGTTCAAGCCAAAGGCAACTAGCAACCGTCAAAAAGGCCGCCTTAAACTACGGAATCGCGGTAAAGGCGGTTTTGGTAGAGGCTCAGGCGGTTTTGGTAGAGGTGGAGGCAAATTGCACAGCACCTCTTCCTTCAACCAGATTGAAAGAAAGGTAGTGAACTTGTCCTCTAACGATGAAAATGATCCGATGCATAAACGCAAAGAAGCCTACATCGACAGGATGAAAACAGCTGTGAAGCATGCAGTACCAAGAAGCTCACAGCAGGCCAGAACCAGTCAAAGAGAGAGTGATTTTGGTGCAGCGCATCATAACGTGGATGTCCGCGATGAGTCGAATGTCCCAAAGACATCCATGGCGCTGCAGAAATTCATCTACACTCAGATCAAAAATGGTACATTTAACCAGCTTGATGATGATGTTAAGAAAGAATTGGAACAGCTACAAAAAGCCACCTTTAAGTCGCTAAAGACAGCAAATGTTTTGGAAGCGACAGACTTTCAGCCCGACGATGTTCCCGAGGAGACGATGGCAGCGGTGTATCATCAAACTGGGGGAGAGTTGTTCTCAGAAACAAAAGAGACAATACTCACCATGGAAGAGCTAGAGGAAGAAAGCAATGACTCCTCTTTCCCTGCAATTATGTTGACAGACACCGAGATGTCAAGTTTTCGGGATTAGATGCAGACGCTTCATCTGTCTGTATCTCTATCCCAAATGATGAAACAATAATGTCTGCTTTAATCGGTTCCTCTGCTATGCTTGTCTCTTTGGTGGATACACATCTCAGCCAAGATGGATCAGAATCTGGGCTGAGAGGGGGAGGAGTGATATCACCAACTTCGACACAAGGAGGTACGAGACACAGCACCCTCAACCAATCTTCAACATTATGAAGAAGGACCCAACAAATGTGCAGTACAAAAGTTACAAGGACTTCACTATAATTGCTTCTGAGACAACTCGAGCTATCTACTTTGCACAATTCAACTTCGTAAAGTCATCCTGGAAACCCAACGGTATACCACTAAATACAGGCATCTTCTACAGTGATAATGCCTATGTGGTAGCACTCTTTGCCTTTGGCTAGGGTCCGTACACAGAACGAACGGTTCATTATTCGGGATTCGGACAAATGATAATTGAGGGGGTTGAACGATGGTCGAACGATATCTGACGCTGCGTTCGGCATGTTCCGGGCCACTGTGGAAGAAACTGAGAGCACTTCGCCGTACGAAGTCGGGGTCGGCGGTCTCGAAAAGTCACTCCATGTCGAGCGAGAGGCAGCAGAAGTCGAACACGCCACGGTGGGCGCGTCGCGCGGCGCTGGGGGGCGGGAAACAGAGATCTCAGCTTCTGCGTGTTCCCCCACGAGACGGACTGAAGTTTCAGGATCTCTGACCCCGAGTTCCTACTGCGAACTACTCTCGTTTTCTTCCCCTGTGAACCATAACATGCCCAACGCAGCGCCAGAGATCGTTGGACTCGAAACTCAGCACGCTGAGATCTCGTCCGACCAATGGGATCAGCGGATTGGATTCTTGGATATATATATATATTTCGTTCTCTACATGTCGCGGTCGACTCCCCCCTGAAACTCCGTTTAATTCAGGGTTGACGTCTTCGGCCCCGGCGCCTGGCCGGACGTGTCCCAGGCCCCCCTGGGACGTGGGTGGCGCGGGGGCGCGCCCGCGGGGGACGGTCCTGGCCGCCTCCAGCGGAGCGAAGCGCTGGAACCATTGCGTAGCCAATCAGCGCCTCGCCTGAAATGCGCAATTGGCGCATTTCAGCCCAGATACAGCCGCTCGAAATCGACATCGGTGTCGATAGCGTCGTTTGCATGGTCTGCTGATCATGGGTTTTGGACCATGGCGCGCACTCTCTACTTCTTCGCGCACAGCCGAAGGTGCGCCGCGAACGTGGCCGGTTCTACGGGCAGCCCGTCGTCGTTGCCGCCGCAGCCCTTTAGTTGGGGGCCGTCGGTGGACGCTCGCGGAGTCGCTGAACGTCGGCGACTTCGTGGCGCTGGAGACGGGCGACTACTGGCGCCCGCAGCGCGAGGGCGGCGGCAGCACGCACGCCTTTTTGCTCGCGCGCGTCATGGAGCAGCGCGGGAGCGGCGGGAAGGGCTACGTCGTCGCGGACGACCGCGCGACGCGGACGCACGACAACGAGGAGTACCGCCCCGGGGACCCCGTCGTCCTGGTGCGCCTCTTCGACCGCACGGGCGCGGACACGCGCCGCTTCACCGTCCGCATCTACCGCGCGAACGGCAGGAGCGTTCTCCGAAAGCTCGACTCGGGCGACGGCCGCGAGGACCAGCCCGTCGTCGGCGGCACCACCGCCGTCGCGCCACGCGCGACGTACACGATCACCTCGGCCGCCGAGCGCGCGATCACGACCGC